CCTTTGAAGGCTGACATATTGCCTGCTGCTTCCAGTGCTGTTTGCTTGGCCGGCAGACAAATAACTGGGGATGTTTCAAAAATCACCTCCCATTCAAGTCAAGGGAAAAAAATTTCCTGTGATTGGTTCTTCTTACAGACATTGATCTCGCTCTCCTCCGGGGTATGAAGGCGAGTACCCCAGAGCGGGGCCCCTCTCCGGGCCCCTGACAGCGCCTGCCCTGGGGTCAGTCCTTCCACACAGCGATTCGAGAAGAGGTCGGGAGAATGCCCGGAACCTTGGCTGTCAACAGAGATGCGTAAGGAGCCATCAACACATTTTCCTGATGTGTTGGATTGCCTTTCGCTTCCCCTTGTTTGAAGAGCCCTGAGAGAATCTGACACAGAAAACATGCTTTCCAGTGGCTGGAGGTCGCAGAGACATTCCTGTCAGGCTACTGGGATCCTAAAAACCCACGCCAACCCTAGTGTTCACTGACGTACTTCTGCTTGGTACCAATTTCTGAACATTAAGTTTCCTTCCTGCAGAACCTTACCTCGCACCAAACAGCCTAGATGTGCGTTTCTAGATGACAGGACCAAAGAATTTTGAGTTAGGAGTAATTTTTTAAACAGCATTTTAACATTCTGAAACAAAGTAAATTCTCATTAGTTGAGAAGAAAGGTTCTTAAAGGCTATGCAGCCCCACTTCCCCATTGGTAAGGGATGATCACTCTATCTTTTGAATACCTCGAGTGAAGGGGAGCTCTCCACCCTACATCGCTGAGCAGTCTTAGTACAGTATTAAAATTACAAAGGTATAATCAGATCAATCCTCCCGCTCTTATTGAACCAGGTTTTACAAACAGGATTTACCTTTTAATTTGAAGTCACTCAGAAAGAAGAAAACAATCTTTATTGAGTGAAATCTTCAAAGTCAGCATAACTGCTAGTGTTGATGCCATATTACATATAATCTAAGTCTACAAATGCAATATTTTCATTCATTCACTTCATTTCATATATCGAAGCTCATTATTTTTCCATTTCTACTTCAACTCATTGTGTATTTATTATTCTTGGTGCAATATTTTAGAACATACAATTTCATTATAGGGTGACATGATGTCCCGGCTGCCTGAAGCCCTCTGTGTGTATACACCTCATTATTTCAATATAATGTTTAATAGCACCCTCTTCGCTCTCAAAAGTGTCCTAGCTCGGGTGACAAATTTATGTTCAAGGATTGTAAAGTTTTAAACATTTTATTTTTTTAAACTGTACTAAAAATCCCCACGAATTAAGATCGGAATCCCCTGCCCTCCATCCTCCACCCTTCTCAATTAACAAGCCTGTGTTTTGAAATGACCGATATTCTTGACTGGGCGTATTTTTAATACAGCGAGTCGCCCCTCCACGCTGCAGAACCACGTCCGTGGAGGGGCCGGAGCCTGGCCCTCTGTGTGGACAAAATGGCCCACAGCCAACGGATGTCACTTTCATTAAGATACCGAAAGCTGGAGGAAACCTTTCTGAGACGGGCACAGCATGTTGGCAACAAAAGATGTTCTCCTGCCCGAGAAAGCATTTCCTCTACTTGGCCACATTTCTTTCATCTCTGGGTGCCTCAGTTTGCCTGCCTAGGAAAAAGCACAGTGCTGCCCACTTCACAGGGCCGTGGAAAGGATTAAAGGGGTGACAGCCACAGGGCACTCTCAGCCGCCAGGAACAAAGGCGGTAAGTAATTGAGCAATGTGCGGCTCCGCTTTTCCAGCTTGTGAGAAAAGGGCTCCCACCGACTTGAAAGGCGGCACCGCACGCGGACAGCAGCGGCCCCCCGGGAGGGAAGAGCCTATTACCGTCGCTGGCATTGTCGGAAAGTGCAAAGGAGATGGAGCACACAGAGGAGCCTGAGAGCTGTGGGGGCAGTAAAACAAGACCGGGGAAAAAACTGACTGATGGACGACAAAAGACAATCTGAAAAACATGGATGACTTGATTTAAAAATAATCTGCGAAGACTGTATATGCCAGGAACAGTTTGTAAAGGAACTGTCCATATAGTCTCTGATCCCTTGATAGAATACATTCATAATTTTTCACGCTGGAATGCCTTTATCCCACGCTCTTTCTATCCTTCTAATCTAAAAGCCTAGTGGGCAGTTCAATGGTCCCTTGCGGAGTGGACTAAATTCCAAAGTTCCTATTTATACAGCTTTCTGCAAGGCCCATTCAAATGATTAACCACTAGATAATGAAACTGTAACTGGTGATACTATTTTGACATAAAATATTAACACTACCCCCCCCAAGGCTGAAGAATGGATTTGGACAAGTACAAAGTGCCATCATTTTGGGTAACTCGCGGTCAAGGAGATGTAAGACATCCTCCTGTTCGTTAATACAGGCTACTAAAATCAAATGGGGAAAAAATGAGAACAGTAGGAGATGTTGCCCCAAGCAGTGTTTTCCCGGCAAAGGCTGCATCTCAAGAACCCTTCAGAGCACTCTGGGAATGCATAGAAGTTTACAAATCAATTTGCTAAATTGGCTTGGCTGGAAATCATGCTTTTGTGTGTGGATCCCACTGACAGGCATCTCTGAATCTACCAGGCCCTCCCAGGGCACCATCAACCAATGCAGAGAGAGTCCAGGGACATCGTGAAAAGAACATGGATTCAGGGTCAACTAGACTTGAGCTCAAATTCTAGCTCCACCTACCTGACCAGGTGACTCTGGATAAGTCATGAGATCTCGCTGAGAAGAGGACTACATGAGCCCACCAGCCTTGAAATGTGCTGGCAAGATGAAATACCCAATATATCCCAAAGAGTCAAGCAGCGTGCTAAGTTTGACTCTTGTCAGTGCAGAGATAACCTAGAATGGCAGAAGCCCACCCCACCAACCCCCAAAATCTCTCATTGCACTGTAGGCCAGGTGGACAAGTGACAGAAAGAGAGGGCAGTTTTGAAAACATTAATATGAAATGCTTGCATATACTTAACCAAAATAGGCCCTTAATTTAAGTATCTGCAAGAGCCAAACTGAAGTTCTAAAGTAAGAATTCTTAGATGTCAAATGCATTCCATTTTGTGATCTGTATAATTTTGCCTTTAAATATCGTTAACTTGTAGAAATCATGCACGTGATTCATCTCCTTCAAAAACACCTGTTGGCCTTTCACAGTGGGCTTCCCAGGGGCTGCCTACAGCCAGAAGAGCCTTTGGTCCTGAACACGTAAGAGGCAGAAGCTAAAGGACAGAGCTGCAAAGGTCTCAAAGGTTATCCCATCAGCCCCCTCACTGCAGAACTAAGGCTTGGAGAGGGGAAATTGTTTGCCCAAAGTCAAACAATGCAGGCCCTGGGTTAGGACTTTTAGTAAGCCACTATAAACCAAACCTGTGACCAAAAAAAAAAAAATCTTGCCACAGAGCCTTATTCCCTGATATTTCCAATTCTATAGTCAATGTCACCAGCCCATCTGGTACTGGATCTGCCCTTCAGAAAAGAAGTTTTCCTCCAATATCACAGCGGAGAGAAACCTGCTAAGATAGGTCAGCGTCATTTTACGTTTCCCAGTATGGCGCAGGACCTAGTCTCTAATATGTCTAAGGGTTGGCAAATCTGAGAGACTGGAAAAAGAATCATCAAAAGGACCCTTTGAACATCATATTTATGACATTTTCTGTCCCATGGTAACAGACACCATGCTAGGACAGGAAAGTTAACAAATCAAACATTTTAGCACACATTTTAGAGTGTTGGTGATATGCCTTCTTCTACGAAATCAAATTCTCCATGTAAATTTCTGAGCATAATGATTTCTAATCACTGATGGGTGTATTTTAAAAGGTGATAGCCCACACAGAGCAAGATTTACCAACAGTCAGGTAGAATTAGGTCCCTGTTTCATAATTCTCCAACTGCTAGTCTTCGCTGATTACCAATTCTGGTTCTGTCTCTGGGATTAAGGGAATGTTCTATCTTGAATGTGCTAATTTACAGACCAGGCTGTTCTGAGGCTAATTTCCAGTTCAAACACACTTCAGTGCTTCAAAGCAATTTTGTGTCCTCATAGGAGACTACCATCAAGACCAGAGTAGGGCAGAAGCTACAGGAGGCATGTAGTCGGGGGACCTCACGTATTTTAGGAAGGGAGACATCACAGAGCCTGTCTAAAGGCTCAGGGGAAGGAACCAGGGGAGACAGTTGAAAAGGAAGCTGAAATTCCAAAGGACAGAGGTTGTGCTCCCCAGAAGTTGACTCAGGGATGGGCCCCAGGGCATCATTGGAGGGAAGGGAGGTAGGAAAGAGGTCCAAAGGACCTTCTTACCTAAGGAAGAGAAGGGAGGGAGAAAGAGAGAGAAAGGAAGGCAGGCAAAGAAAGTGCCAGATGCAGAGACATTGTGAAGGGAGTTTAGGTGACATTAGATATGGAGGTGAGAAAACATGGATTAAAAAGGACCTCTTCACCAAATGGTTTGGAATTTAACAGAGAAGTTCTGCTCAACCACATAATCATACATTGTAGGTATGCACTCTGGGATTGGACTTTATTCTGCCGAAAAAATTTTTAATTAATGTTTTCTCTTAAGGAACGTGCTCAATTCATGATGGATAAGAAAGAGATCATTCAGTTAGATTGATTTTTGTGGAATAACAAGTCAAAACTACTGGAATCCCAGCCTTTAACAAAGTTATATATCCATGTGGGAAAAAAAAAATCCCTCCTAGAACCTTAAATTAGCAAGGTTAATTCACAGTGTGGACATAAGAAATAGCAAATACTCAGTTTGATATTTGGGTTGTCAAAGTGAGAAAAGAAAGCAGACTAAATTCTATAGAATAAGCTTTTCTGGTCCCAGAAATTACAAAGAACTTGATAGTTTTCTTGGCTGTAATGACTTGTAAATATCTAGAAGAGCCCAGATTTTGAAGCCCTGCGGATACTTGCTAAAACTAAGAAATTTGGCACTAGTCTTTGCACACAATTTGGGTTTTCTTTCAGAGTTGATATCTTACCAAATACAGCCATCTGTGTTCCCTCTGGGAAAGGTTCGACTGTTCTGTTGCCATTGACATGATGTTTGGCTAGGAAAAAAAAAAAAAGAAAGAAAGAAAGAAATGCAAGTTTAAGTGCAAAGTTCTACACACATACTAACACATGTCATTAAATGTGTCAATGAGCCTATTTCTCATTTTGAGTTACAAATGCACCAAAGCTCACCCTCAAGTTTTGATTATTTTGTTTTTAATCTCAGTTACAGAAGGGCCTTAGAGACCATCAAGTCCAGGTATGCTGATTTACAAAGGAGAGTACCAGGGGGCCTGAGCTTGTACCCGAGCTGGACAGTCAATGACAACAGGGCCAGCTCAGCCTGAACGCTCCTGACTCCAGGCCAGAGCCCCCTGTGCCAGGCCGTCCCTTGGGGAACAAGGGAAGCTCTGGGTTCCAGGCTGAGCTGGGGTGGCTTCCCCCTGAAGACTCTTAACAGTGATACAATCAGTATTTAAAATGGGAAGTAAAAAGAGCAGAGAACCACTGGGACCAACGTTGCAAAGAACAGAACAGCAGAACATGTCATTTCACTGCAGTCCAAGCTCTGTTCCCAGGGGCCAAAGACACCAGCTTTCTTAAGGGCCAGATGGATATTCCAGAACTTCTCACCACCCTTTACTCGCCAGGTCCTCCCAACCAATCATCTGCCCGCCCTCGTGCACTTCAAGGACTTGGAAATAATAAGCAACCAGGTCACAGTTTTCCAGCATTCATTTGTTCTCACAGCCCCAAACCGTCACCGATAGAGAATGTCTGAGTATGCCCCATCTATGAGTATTCTGACAATATCCACAGCAAGCTTTAAATATGAGCATTTATGTAGAAAATACATACACATAAGGATAGCTAATACGTTTCACGCTGCATCATCAAGCACATTTTGATTTAATGAGTCACATTGGATTGACCTAACGTGACCTCAGCACTAAGGCCAGGCCCTAAGGGGTCTGGGGAAGGATGACATGGTTCCTGCCCTTGAAGAGAGCACAGTTATCTTCCACAAGTAAAAATTTCAAAAACAAATGTTACAGAAAGCTTGCGATCCTGTGCTAGTCCTGGAATGTGGACTGAGGGGACTGTAGGAGCTTGTGGCAGAGGGAGAGCAAGTCAGGAAGTCGGAGCATAACGTGAGGGAACTGCCACTCGGGGAGTGACAAAGGAGAGGCAGGGTTTGGAAAGGCAAGGGTGGTCAGCAGCTTAAGTGAGGGCCAGAGAACAATCCAGTCTGGGTGCAGTGGAGGTGCTATGTTCACAAGCAACGGCAATGAAGGATGGATTAAGACTGGGACCAGGTCGTGGAAGGTCTCAAGCACCCATCCAAACTCCTGGGGACCCCGGGAAGCTTCTGCAGCACCACTGTAAGTCCTTCAGACTCTGAAGGCCCACAGGGCTCAGTCCAGTTCAGACAATCCTTAGGGATCCCATCAGCTCTGTGCAGGGGCTCCCAGTCGTTCTAAAGTAATTATGGCATTAGCCCTAGGACAGAAAATCTGGGAGAAGGCAAGGAGCTAGCCTGGGGTTCCAGGGCAAGGTGGTGGGTCAGACTGGCAGAATCAGCAGACGCATGATGGAAGCTCCCTGGTGACCTTGGCAAGCGCTCACTATATGGTTTGGACCACTGGTTAGTGAATTCGAAGAAACATAATGAGCCTCCGTGTGGCAGTCAAAGCTCTGTTCTATGGTCAGGACCCCACAGTCCCCGACAGTGGTTTTGAAAACATTTGCCTTTTGCCACATCAAGAGTCGGAAACCCATTCAAACTCTTTACCCCACTAGTCCCACTTGCAAGAATTTAACCTAAGGAAAAATGCAAGAGGAAAAACAGGTGATGCACATAATATTTATTAAAGTATTGCTTGTAACAATGAAATCTTAAAATCAACTAAATAGCCAAAAGTGGGGAAATTGCTTAGAAAATTACCATTCATGATTTGTCAAATGAATGGAATATTATGCAACAGATTTTAAATAGTTCATTGACAGAGATATCAAAATGTGGAGAAATATGTGGCCTAATGATAAGGGAAAACAATCCTATTACATCTTCTATGTAGATTATAATGACAACTAATTAAAATATGAATACTTATGGGAAAGGACTAGCAGAGAAACACACAGAAATGAAAATAGGGAGATTATGCAAGATGTTTATTTTTATCAGTTTCCTTTGTCACTTTTAGATTCTTTTCTTATTGTCTAGGATGAAAATATGTTTGAATGCAAAAAAATCAACAAAATTATAGATTTTTAGATGTTTTCCACAGTAATGGGTTTCAGGACTGCCCATCGAGGCTGTCTCTAGCCCGGCTGAAACACCACACATCCCAGTACAAGGTGCGCCCTATCTCACATCTGCTCTGGGGCACCTCAAAGCACTCAAGACGGCCTTCCGTCCCAGTCTCGATTCTCTTCCGGCACCCCCTGCCTGGGAAACAGGCCCACCACCCTGCTACTTTCCATCGTCCTCACCCCTTCTCTCTCCGTCACTCACTACATCTACTCTGACCCCTAATGTAGCGGATTTCACCTCCGAAACATCTCCACCAGCCCTGCTCTTCCTCCCTTCACCGTTCAAACCGCCCCAGAGCCAGCCATCGTGACCTCTCTGTCTGGACCCCTACAACTGCCTTTTGGCTCTTCTACGTCCCTTCTCCAACTCGTTCTGCCCAGTGTAGCACAATTATCTTTCAATAGGAAAAAATCATTCAAGCTTAGTCACCTAACCTTTTTTTTTTCTTTTATTTCAGCATATTATGGGGGTACAGATGTTTAGGTTATGTATGTTGCCCTTGGTCCCGCCCCAAGTCCGAGTTTCAAATATGTCCATCCTTCGGGTGGTGCGCATCGCACTCCTTGTGTATACAAATACCCGTCCCCTCCTCCCTCCTCCCCCCTCCCCCCGAAGTCACCTAACCTCTTTACACCCCTATTTCCTCCTTTGTAACCTACCTGGTGTGTTGTTTGGGGAATTAAATAAACTAAATATGAAAAGCATTTAGAAGAGTGTCCAGTACATAGCAAATACTGTGTAACTGTTAGGCTAGTATTATCATCTACGCATGAACTTTATTTCTCACAAGATTTGAGTCAGGAATGGCAAATACATGACACATATCTGCATATGCTCCCCTTCTGTGCCCACGGCAGACATCACTAATCAACCACAGCACACTTCCACGATCCCCAAATGTGGCAAAATCCTTTCTCAGCATAGCCCTCTACAGAGTGAGTCTCTTACTGCTTAGAGGTGGTCTGTGGGATCAAATCATTTTGCCATTCCTGGTCTAAGTGAATAAAATCGAAAGACGGCCCAAAGGAAGAAGCCATTTTCTTCCTCATTTCTACATAATACATTGCAATGAAACCCCTCTGAAAATCTTCCAAACTCTATAAATAGCTTTAAAAGAATATGGGGCGGGGGATCTGAGAGCTACTTTCCATTCCATAATGAGAGAATGGTATGTTCTTTAAAATCAAGCAATGGCAGTTCTATTCCTGGAAACCAAGGTGGAGTTTCTAAAGGCATTTTCCCATTGAAACTCTGCTAAGGCAAGTATTTGGGGGCCAAAGAACCAGAGATCTTTTAAACTCTTTATATAGTTTAAATAAGATGAGTGGGAAGAGTAGACTAACCTGGGAACTTAAACAGCATTTATAAATTTTTGTTTCAAAATTAGCAGCACATTCACCACAGAAATAAACAGAAAAGCCATTCGGTGACTGGGTCCCAGCGCCTGATTACCAGCAGAGTGTGCCGTGGAGACAGGACGGTCTCTGACGGGGACATGTGCTGCCCAGCCACAGCAGGGCGAATGCCTCCCATCTGGCTGGCTGGGCACGTGTCCCTGCTCCTCTCTCTGCTCCACGGGGGCACATTCCAAAGCCACGTGCTCCAGGAGGACAACCTCTGCTGATGGTGATGACTCGTCCTCCGCCAAGGGTACATGAGGACGAAGAATAGATTTCCATTTATCTTGAAAGCCCAGTGCTTGAGGAGCACAAAGGTTAATTAGACTGGGTCAAAGTCAACTTCTGTAGAGATTTTGAAGGGGATTTGGAGGACATGCTCGAAAGCTTTAGAAGATGACCCTGATATTGCTTTTTATCTTGTTTTTAGAATGTCTAATGCACTTCAAATTTTATGACTGTTTTCTTCCTTGAAAAAGGTACAGTAGAACTGCTCACTCACAGTAACCTCACAGGGAACCAGTGATGCGAATTCGGGATGAACCAGCCAGGGACGGGCTCCCTGTCCTGTGCTCAAACAGAGACAGCTAAAATTCGTATCTTCTGGGCGAAGGGCGTGGGAGCAGTAAATGGCAGGTAAGTGGGGCACAGGAAGGTGGGTCCCCAGACCCTCAGTTGTCAGGAGTGTAGGTCCAGTTTCCTCCTGACTGGGTGGCCAAGGAAATGCCAAATAATTGGAGATTCCAGAAACAGCGGCCACTGTCCTGAAGGTCCTGGTCAGCCACTGACCATCCAACCAGCATCATCCCAGGACTGGAAGAGGCTTGGATCAGACTAAACCCTCAGAGCTGCTGGGCAGCAAGAAGTGTGTGCCCCTCCCGGCTATGTCACTAACACCATGAAGACTCATACGGACTGACTTACCATATGTTACCCCCAGTCATTCGAGCTGTTACTAAGCTGATCAGCAGAGAGCAGGGCCACAGTGGGGCCGGAGCAAAGCGCATCGATCTCACTAATATGGTCGTAAAAGTCTGTCAACCCCAAACAATCTATGGTCTCAATGTCGCTCCCGTTATCTGTTTCTTTGAGGCTCTTTCCCAAGGTCACAAAGTCACGGTGTCTCACAGTACAAGTCGGACTGGAACTAAGTAGCGTTCCTATGTGTCCCACAAGAATTCCATTTTCACTTCTGTAATGCTTTTATTAATTACCACTTTAAGAACTACGTCTAACTGAGGCATCTGTGATAAGCATATAACATTAATTGATGGATAATTTCCATGTGACTTTTATGAAATCCCCCCTTAACACAAGCCATTCCTAATGACTACCAAAATTAGAT